CTGGTTAGATTCCCCCCACCCTCCCCAGCACCCAAGTTTCTCTGCTCACCTCCTGCCATTCTTGATTTTTGGCCTGTCATAGGTGCCCCAGAACCTGCACCTCCCTCTGTCTCCTTTCCTTCCTCATCTGCTCAGCTCACCTCCTCTCCCCTACTCCCCACCCCCTTCCCCTGCCCCCGGACATCTCAGCCTGGTCCCTCTTCTCTGCAGAAGGTGCTGCCCCTGTCCTGCAATGCCCCAGCCAATCACACCCACTCCCACGCCCCCTCAGTATGGCAATTGGGGGTCCCTGGCCTACCAGACCCTCGTCTGCCCCACTGAGTCAGTCGAAGCTCCTCTACCAGGTTCAGCAGGGAGTGGAACTTCCTTCCACCCCCTGCGGCCCAGCTGATTGGCAGCCAGCGGGGCTGGGGGGTGCAGAGGGGAGCAGCAAGGAACTGATTGTTTGCTGCTGTGGGGGGTGGGGAGGGCTTAGCAGAGGTTCGACTGAGCCTTGGCACTCAGGGGGGCTAAGAGGCTGAGGATGCTCTAAGTCAGGAACCTGGGCAGAATCCCCCCCGACTGTCTGCTGCCTGTTCCCCACCCCACAGGGAAATGAAGAAGGAGGTCTTTTGCAGAGTACCCCCAGGTAGGGGGAAGAAGAGAAGGCTGAGATAGTACAGATTTGAGTCCAGTGGCCCAGGAGACCTCAGGGCCCAGGACTCTGCAGGAGGCCTAGAGACAGCGGGAGCTGCAGCCCCTGCCCTTGGTTCAACTCAACAGCAAAGGAAGGCATTTAGCAACCAGGTATGGGAGCTCCTAGAAGGACTGTCCAAATGCCCTTCCTTGAGCAAGGAAGGAAGCTACATAGACAGAGATGAACACACACATGCACAGCTGACATATCTATATCTATATTTGTATCTGTCTGTCTATCTATCATTATAAACAGCAATCATTAAGAATCATTTTTTCTCCAAGCTCATCAGCCTGAGTCTGAGTTCAGACAGTTTTTGGGGACAGGTGTAGTCATGAATATTGCCCCAATGGTACAAACTTCAGAGAAAAATCAAGCCAAAAAAACCTCTACTGGAGATTTATTTAGTTTCCTTTCATAAGAACTCTGACATATTTGCTTGGGCAGCCAGAACTTGAACTGAAAATACTGTCTGGATAAGTTCTATCAAAAGCTTAAAGGCTTGCCCCCACGCCCTGCCCCATGTCTGGGGCCCTGGGGACTTGGCCAGCGTCATCTGGCGAGTCAGTGGAGAGATTGTGGAGAGATTGTGACGAGAGGCTTAGGTTTCTTCTTCTTCTTCGTCTTCTTTTTTTAAAGATTTATTTATGCATGCAAAACTGGGGTACAGGCCAGAGGTGGAGGGACGGTGAGAGGTTTCACCAGAGACAGAGTGGGGAGCAGAACAGGCAGATCGACCAAGTACACTGCTGAGGGGAGCAGCGGGGAGACAGGAGAGCTCTCCCATGCCATGTGGTCACCTCAGGGGCGGGGATTGAACTCCACTGAAGTGACTGAGGCTGGCTTGCAGCGCTGTGCTTTAACCCAGTGTGCCATCAGGGAGGGCCCAGGCTTAGGTTTCTAACAGGAGTTTGAGTTCTCCCAGCTTTCCCAATCTCCCCAGAGATTGCTGAGTTTTGTCTTCATCAGCTTCTGCTGCTGGTTCAGCTTCGTAAATTAAGCTATTTTGGAGTTTTCACATCTAATATCTTCTCACACTTTTCAAAGTGAAAGACATCATTCAAAAGCATTTTGAATGTTAGAAGAAAGAAGCACTAGCTTATAACACTATGTGCTCATATAAATAAATTAATTAATTAAACTCACCCGGGAGCTAGGAACATATAGGGGAAAATTGGGTCCCTAGAGATTCTGCAGAGAGCTGAGAGGATTTGCACCCAGTCCACACCTGCGTTCCCATCCTTGTGCCGCGGCGGCAGATTTAAGACCAGAGCACCTGGTTGTAAAATGGGCCAGGGCAATTGGCCTACAGGTGGGATACTTAATCTGCTGCTTTTATTAGAGGTAAGGATGGTTGGTGAGCAGTTTTATATGTTTTTGTTTGAGAAAAGTTACCCACAACATAATTAGCTTTGTTTTTGTCAGCCTGGACTGTTGATGAGGTGTCTAGAGGCTTTCTGGCATAGGTGCCTGAAAGCTTAAAGTGCATTTAATTATTATTATTACTCAATGTCAGGCTACTTAAATGAAAAGAGATAAAAAAGAATCGCTTGCAGCTACATTGCCTCGGTTTGTGATTTCATTACATCTCCCAAGCTAAACAGGTTCGAGTTGCCACTTGGGCGTGAAAGCGCTAAGAAAAACCCAAGCGACTGGAGTTTCAACTGAGTTGAAAGCTTCCCCATTTGCTGGCGAGGTAGGAACTTGATACTCTTTGATTTTCCTCCTCATTTTTATTTTCGAATACCTTCGTAAAGGGCTGACTTACTCCAAGGAAAGAAAGCCACACAGAGCTCTTAAATGTGCAGAATTTCCAATGTAAAGATGCCTTGACTCCACAGCTCACTGTCGTCTGGCTTGCAGCCTTCCTGAAATGCCAAGGAAGCTTCCAAAGCAGCAGCACTGAAAGCCTCACTAAACACAGTAACTGGAAGAAGAAGGCTGCTGTCCCACCTGAATGCCAGCCCGGAGCAGGGCATAGACCAGGAGGCAGATGGGCCAGGTTATGCCCACTCTTCTTCCTACCGGCAGGTCAGAATGAAACCAGATGGTTCGCCAGAGGGCAATATATTGGCAGACAGTACCTTGCTTCTTAGCATGAGACACAGGGCTGTTAAGAACAAGAGCTTGGCATTGAATTAACCCTAGACATTCAGCTCAGAGGTGACCTTCTTTCTGCCTCCTTGGAATAAAGAGAATGGGTTAGGTGACCCAGTGTGGTCAAAAGACCAGAAGCTTTAACTGCATTCTAAGCCCTTAATTTCTCCTCTTACTCCCTACCCTCTTGTTTTGAAAAAAGCTCCAGGACTGGGAGCAAGGTCTGGATTTCTTTTGAATGTCCCCAGGGTAAGTACAGCATTTGCACACAACAGGCATTAAAAAAAAAATGAGCTGACTTGTAGACTGGCTCCTTCTTATAACCCCTGACTTGCCAGACTATGTTGTAGAAACAAGACCTGTGGGGACTGTGGCTCTTTAAAGGTCACAGGACAGAGGTCAGGCATCCCCCTAAGTCAGTTATCAGTTGACAGATAGCAAACCACTTAGTGGCTTAAAATTAGTGGATTTGGCACGTGATCTGTGGGTTAGCAAATTGGGTCCATCTCAGCTGGGGTGTTTTGCTGGTCTCAGCCTGGCCCATGGGTGCATCTGTGGTCAATGGCTTCATTAGCTGCTTGCTGGTCGTGTCATCATCCAGCAAGCTCTTCTGGGCTTTACATCTATGGTGGTGATCACAGGTTCCCAGGAGCTGAGCAGGATCAACTTTACCACCCTAGTGCTTTACAAACCTCTTTGCATTGCATACTTGCCAACACAGCATTGGCCAACCTACGTCACATGGTTGGATCGGGTGTCAAGTTCACAGATAATGGCTGCGACAGGGCAGGAATTATTGACGTCATATTTGCAAACACTGCCCCAGCCAGCAATAGAATGCAGTGTTTCCAGCTCCCAGGTGTGAGACTCCATTCTCGGGTTTCCTAGATGCTGGCACCAGCCTCTTGGAGCCAGAAGTCCAAGTTACAAGTTTTCCCACAACGCAGGCCTCCTTTTCCGTATCTGATAAATAATCACATCCATAGGTTTGATCCAGGACCAAAAGCAGTGGTGTGGGCAACCGTGCATGCATCTAGGCTGTGATGTGTCCACGGCTGTAAAATGGGTTCACCCTGAAAGACTGGTATGAAATTCAGGTGAATTTCACCAGTTTCCTGCAATTTTCTTTCAGACCTTCTTCTTGGATCAAGTTTCAATTTGATGCCCATATGCCCATTCTCTTTAGAATTTGCTTTTTATTATTTCCAATTTTTATCTTCGCTTTCTGTCCATAACAGCTGATCACTTAAGCACCATAAAAGCACACGTTAGTAGCTTTAAAGCCAGTGCTAATTAGATAACCCGCGATGCATTCATTCCGCTTTCTACAACTATTTGTTGAGCATCTACTGTGCACCAGGCCTGTACCAAACATCCACCAGAGCACGCATTCTAGTGTGGGAGTCGCTATGGTGGCTGGATTTGGGGATTTCCCTCTGCGGGAGGGGGGAAGCCACGGATGCGTCAGCCTCCCTCCCTCAAAGCCTTCATCCCGGGGTCAGGAATAACCAGC